TTCACAGCCTGGCTCTTCCTGCTTGCCCTGGCGTGCACAGCCCTAGTGGGCTAATGGGTTTCTCACATTCTCCTGATGGACCCAGATATGGGTTGAGGTCTAGACTCCACATTCAGGTCCTTCCTTTGTGGCTGCCCCATTCACATGTTTCCTGCCTGAGCATACAACCTCATGTTCAGGTGAAGATGTGTCGCTAGCTAGGTTCCTCTCCAGTGGCTCTTTGTGTGTGTGTGTGTGTGTTTAGCCTTGAGCCAGAAGTGAATGGGATTATATGAAGTCCCAATGGCTATTTCACTTTCTACATCTCCTTCTTATATGTTCATAGCCTATTACTTGCCTCCATCAGGAAATACCCCCAAACTTAGCTGTGTCCTTCTCTGTTTATCGGTCACCAGGATGCTGCTCTTCCCCACAGTGTTTCCCTCCCAGGCATGGGTTTTTCCCATGCATGGCTGTATAGGAGCGAGCCCTCTCTCTGCTAACAAAGTTGCCGGTTCCCATAGCTTGCCTCACCATGAGAGAACCAGACAGTGACACAGCTGGGGAGAGGGAGGTGCAGGCATGGGAGACCCTTGGTCAAGATGGCTACAAATTCCCACTGCTCCTCGCTTCTCTCGAGGAAATGATTTTCCAGTGGTTGCATCTCTTTGTTCAATCTTTATGGCTTTGAGCATGCTGTTTGGGGAAAATGTGTCTGCTTCTTATCCTTTAGGGGAAGGAGGAACAAAGATTCACTAGGGTCCTTCTCCTACCCTTTCTCTCTCATTCTTACAAGCTGCTTTTATGATCTCAGTAACATCCCCACCCCTTCTTGTTGTGTATCATTCCTAGAAAAGGAAATCAGACAGGATGGGCCTGCTCAGGGTTCACTCCTCACGGCTGATGAACCCGAGCTGCATGCCAGTGCTAGAGGGAAGAGAACAAGTTCAGAGGTCAATTCCCTGGATCTGGAGGTCTCAGTGTCCACTCCCTGGACACATGGACTTTGCTAAGTCTTTCCATTGAACCAGCCTCCGTTTTGCTTTCCATGAAATGGGGATGAAGGAGTAGCTGTTGCAGAGATTTCAGAGCAAGAGAAGTTATTCTGCACAAAGTCCTTGGCTCAGAGCTAACACTCAAAAACAGACTGAAGCCACATTAATGGCTAACTTTTTGTTCACAAAAAGTGGCAGCCACAGAGGGGCAGGGACCTTTTAAGATACCAACATCCCATGTCAGGATGCCAGGGTTCAAACCCCCCCCCCCCCGTTCTGTCTTTTGGTTCTAGCCACTTGCTACTACATACCCTGGGAGGCAGTAAGCAACAGCCCAAGCAGCCCAATTCCTGCCACTCCCTTGGGAGCTTTGCACTAAGATGGATACTGATTCCATTGTGGGCATTCAGGGAGGGGACCAGCAGATGGAAGCTATGTCTGTCTGTCTCTCCTTTTCAATAATAATAATGATGATCATCATCATCACCTCCAATTCACTAGGGCAAAGATGTGGAATCGGTCATCTGGATGATTAGATAAAGAAAATGTGGGAAAGCTACACAATGAAAAATGACTCACCCATGAAAAGAATAAAATTCTGGTGTTTGCCATAAAATGGGTAGAACTGGAGATCGTCGTGCTAAGTGAAATAAGCCAGACACAGAAAGACAATTATTACACTTTTTTCTCTAACTCACGAAAGTGAATATATATAAAGTCTAAAAAAATGAAATTTCTACTGAATGGTACCCCCTACCAGGTTTCTGTGCATTTAATGTAGCTTACAAAATTTTTCATATTATAGATTCCTAGTTTCGTTGCCTTGGAGTCAGAAGTAACTTTTAATATGATTTCCATTTTTATATTAAAAGGCAGCATTCCTAGATCAGGGAAATAATCCCTGATTACTTGGAAAGGTCTTAATCCTCAGAAAAGCCAAGTCAATAAAGAGTTGGTCAAGGATGCAATCTCATGTGGTCATTGCATTCTTGCTGGGGTTCCTTTCCTTAGCCGGCTGCTGAACAGTGATTATACTTTATTGAGGTAAATGAATCGTGGATGTTTGGCCCAAAGAAGCAGTGATTTCCTATGGTTCAATCTTTTCATCATGTTACTGAGGATAACCATACCTGTGGTTAAGAGTGACGTCATTGACAGAATTCTTTTCCTGGATGCTCACTCCTGCTTAGGGTGAACGGTCCAGGTAGCAGTCGTCAGCACCACTTGGCTGATGAGAAAGAGGGGCTCAGGACTTCTCTTCCTGGGAGTGAGAGTCTTCTCTGAAAAATGAGGCAAGCAGAATGGTGTCCGTGTCAGGGATTGCAGCCACAGCCTAGCACAGATAGCTGATAGGGGCTTACAAGCACAAGGAAGCAGAGGGGACGCCTCAGTTACTGTAGTGCTTTGGAGGTGTGCTTTTGCCAGAAACGGGAGCTTGCTTTCCAAGTTCTGTTGGCCTTCTACTAGGTTCAATTCAAACAGAGATGGCTATGGGGGTGGAACTGCTTCTAACATCCATGGAACTTGTACTGTTGATGAGGGATGGCACAAAGGCCTCCACCTGCTCTTTCTCCAAACGGCTTTGTCTCTCCGGTAGACTTGGAATCATTTCCCTGGCTGTAGATTTCATTTTTTTTTTTTTTAAATTCCATCTGTCTTATTTTCAGCTGATTTTTTTTATTGTGTTTTCATTTTGTGCAGAGAAAAAAAAAGACATTATATTTTGGGTATATATTGGCTTTGTGTGTTTCTGCCTCCTCCAGCTCCCTTGGAACATTTTTGGGCTGAATTATAATAAGTGAAGCCACTAGAATTTTGGAGAGATTCCATTCCAGGAGGTCAGAAAAGAATTTTTCCTCCCAGATTGCAGGCTTGGGCCAGACTTCCAATAAGCAATTTTTGGAGGGGGATAGTTGAGGTTTTTCAGTGATGCTGTTGACCCAACGAATGGAGTCTTATCTCTACCATGGACTCCAGGTTCATAATACGTTTTGCTTCTGAAGTGGTGCAATTACTTTTCTGACAGCTGATTCTGAAAACAGACGCTGTGATTCTTGGTGAATGGATAGATCAGTGGGGGCAGGGGTGGGGTGGGCTGTGTGGTCTCTGTTGAACTGAGGAATTAGGAATGGAATTTGTGCCTGCCTCACCCCCTACCCCTACTGGGTCACTCCTGCGTGGGTGGGCATTCATGCAGTCAGCTTATTCATTCATGCACTACAGAGTGCGTAGTGCAGTGGAGGAGAGAAGCAACACAGGAAAGACCTCTTAAATACAAGGGGTGCTCGTTGCTGTAAACTAGGTCAAGCCAGCGAGGTTAATGGCCATACCATTTATTTAGCAAATATTTGTGCTAGTGGAGCTGACGCTGGCAAACACGCCAAGCAGGGCACAGAAGGCTGACAAGGCTGTCACGGGCAGCTGAGTGACACACTGAGGAATTTCTCATGCCCTTGGGACCTGGGCACGGGCAAGTCATTGGAAACGCAGATGTCGCAGTGTGGCCAAACTAACTGCAATTAGGAGCTGCCTCTGTTCTGCATGTAGCCTTGGAGACAGGCTGTGCTCTAGGGCTGGCGGCATTTGTGTTCGGTGTATCTGGGTGTGTTAGAACAGCCTTGGCCACCTGGGCACCTTCACACTGTGGTGTAGCTGTCACTCACGGGCATCCTCACAAGGACCCCTCCCCTTGCTCCTGCCTCCGCTCTGTCCAAGCTGGAGCTGTACTCCTATGAGACACAAACTCCCCGTTTTCCCCCTGGCCACCACCACTCTACTTTCTGTGCCTGAGTTTATCACCCTGGGTACCTCACCTAAGTGGAATCAGTAATGCTTACCTTTTTGTGGCTGACTTGCTTCATTTAACATAACACCCTCCAAGTTCATTCATGTTGGAGCTGGATTTATAGTTACCTTCCCCTTTTAGGCTGACACATACTCATTTTAATTAAAAATATATTTTATTTGAAATGGGGTGGGGTGGGGGAGATCTTCCATCCACTGGCTCATCCCCCAAATGGCTCCAATGCTAGAGCTGGTCCAAGGGCAAAGCCTGAACCCCAGAGCTTCAGCTAAGTCTCCAAAACAGGTGGCAGAGGTTTAAGCACTTGAGCCGTCATCCACTACCTTCCCAGGCAGGGACTGATTGGAAGTGGAGCAGGTGTCAGGGATGGTGGCTTGGCTTGCTTTGCTTTAATGCCCAACCCCATGGCTCCTGCTGTCATGCACGGCTGGACCGCATGCTGTTTATACATTCCTCCAGTGATGCACATTGGTTTGTTAGCATTGCTTGGCTGTAGTGAACAGTGGCGCCATGGCCATAGGTGTCCACATACCTCCTTCAGACTCTGGTTTCAATTATAGCATGGGCAGTGTACCTGAAGTGGTATGGATGGATCGTTTGATCATTCCACATTTCATATTCTAAGCAACTGCCATGCTTTTTTACATTGCAAAACAGCTAAATTCTTCATATGGTTTTGAACCTGTGATGTTTCCCCCTCTATAAAATGGTGACCTAAGTACTTATGTCCCTGCTACTCATGGGAGAGACTGTGATGGGATTTCTGCCTCTTGGTTTCAGCCTGGTCCAGCCTCAGCTATTGCAGCCCTTTGGAGAATGAGCCAGCAGAAGGAAGAGCTCTCTCTCTCTCCCTATCCCTATTTCTCTGCCATTCAAATAAATAAGTACATCTTAAATTTTTTTTCTCACACAAAGATACTATGGGTAGGAAATAACTTGGTATCTGTGAGGGTCCCTATCAAGTGGATGGTACCCAGCAGGTGGATGGTACCCAGCAGGTGGATGGTACCCAGCAGGTGCTCAGCATAGGCTCAGCTTCTGCATTTGCCTGGGCTAGGTAGGGCCCTGTGGATCTAAGCTCTCAGGCTAGCACATGGGTCTTCTCTCTTCCCAGTGCCTCAGCCACACAAAGTGAGCCTGACCTTTTGCTTTAGGATCTTCCCACCTTCCCTCTGCCTGCTCCTCCAAGTGCTCTTTTCCCTCTTCTCTTCCTCCCCTGCCAGGTGGTCGAGGAGCTCCTGCAGAGTCTGGACCTGGAGAAGAAGGCCGTGGCCTTGGGACACAGCCAGGTGAGTCGCGCCCAGCAGGGACCCAGAGGGGCCTTGATTCTTGTCCTGTCGTGGTTGTCTGTGATTTCTGTGTGTCTCCCCCATCCATCTTAGATGACAGAAGCTTGCAGAATCCGGGAAGGGTTATCACTTGTTAGGCATTACAATTCCAAGAGCCCCAGTGGTTTGGAAGAATTAACCTTCTCAGTCTCAGAAAATGCTGCCCTCACCCCCTTCATTCAGAGCCTTGTGATTTCTGCTTTGTAATGAATGATGATGCAGCCACAATCAGTCCTAGCTGATTGACAGCAGCAACTGTAAGAAGGGGCTTCAGAGCATGGCCTGTGATTATTTGAGTGGAGGAAAATAGCTTTTGCAGAACTGGTGTTGAGCCAAAAACTCTTCCAAAGGTACTTGAATGTATAGAGAAGAATTTCCTGCTTTCCTCCTAGGAGGGTACTTTAAACGGCTCGAGCAAAATAGAATGAACTATGTTTATTTTGGTGCAAAAGATTCTGAAGTGCATACCTACAAGAGCTCAAATGTGGGTGGCAAGAACTCATCGACTTGAGCTATCACCACTTCCTCCCAGGGTCTGCATCAGAAGATGCATGGTGACTCAAAGGCTAATCCTCCACCTGCAAGCACCAGCATCCTACATACATAGGTTTGTGTTCCAGCTGCTCCAATTCCAATTAGCATCCTGCCAATGGCCTGAAAAGCATCAAAGGTTCTTGGGTCCCTATATCCATGTGGGAGACCTGAAAAAAGCTCTTGGCTTCTGGCTTCAAATCTGTCATGGCCATTTAGGGAGTGAATCTGTAGATGAAGGATCGGCATCTCCTTCTCTCCATAAACCTGCTTTTCCAGTAAAAATAAATATATATGGATTTTTAAGTAGGAAGTTGGAATCAGGAGCCAGAGTTGAAAGTCAAACCCAGATATTCTGTTGTGGAATGGCCAGTGGCCTTAACCACTATGTTGGACAGCTTCTCCCTAGCTTACTCTTTACACATAAGGTCTTGTGTCCTGGGTTGAGAAAGTTGTCCTCCAGTCCCAGGGACCTCATCCTTTTCATTGACTTAGCAGTTCCCAAGGTCAAGTCCCTGGACCACCCTTAGCCTTGCCCGAGAGCTTACCAGAAGTATGTCTTCTCAGACATGATAAGTCGGAAGCTCTAGGGTAGGCCCTACCAGCCAGTAAGGTCAGAGCCCTCTCTTTCCTCTATATGTGATTCCAGTGCAGTGCTTGAGTCTGAGATCCTCTGGCCTGGAAAATCACTCCATTAGTTCATGAATATAAAAATCAGTCCCTAGGAGCCCAGAAGCTGCTGCAAAGCCAGGAAGAAAACAAAATACATTTACTACCTAGTGATTTGCAGGGGCAGCAGCAAGGGATCTGTAAGCCTAAACATTCTGGTGAAAGGGAGATTTACAGAAAGAAGGAGAGACAGAGAGGAAGATCTTCCATGCCTTGGCTCACTCCCTAAGTGTTCACAATGGCCAGAGCTGAGCCTATCTGAAGCCAGGAGCTTCTATGTGTTACCACAGGTGCAGGGGCCCAAGACTTTGGGCCATCTTCTACTGCTTTCCCAGGCCACAAGCAGGGAGCTGGATGGAAAGTGGGGTCACAGGACACAAGCCAGCACCCATCTGGGATCCTGGCATGTGCAAGATGAGGACTTAGCTGCTGAGCCATCACCAGGCCCACAGCATCACTGTTATTGTGGAATTGTGGATTCTTACCAAGAAACTCTCACAAGGCAGTCGGGATCAGAGTATCCTTTTGGGGAGCTGGGCTCTAACCGGAGCAGATTTGATATGGTTAGGCACTGCAGGGTTTTGAAGTCAGTTAGACTGAAGGTCTTGGAAATGGGGGGAAGGAGTAGCTTCAGCTCTTGCTCATCACTGGGGCAGTTTCATCTCTCCACGCCTCACCGTCCTCACTTGCAGAATGGAGCCATTCCTCCCTAACCAGCCATGTTGGCTGTGGGAAGCTGTACCTTGTCATTGATCAGGGGGCCCTGGCATGACCGGGCTGAATGCTTTCATGAGTGGGGCAAGACGTTTATCAAATCGGATGACATTTTAAGGCAGAAGAAATCAAACTCCTCTTGCCGATAAAATTCACCGAGAAGAACTGATTTCTGTGAGTCCAGAAATGGGAGCGATCATCTTATCAGATTTATCAAAACAAACAAGCAAAAAAAGCCCTTGGCTTGTGGCATTGTTTTTTTTTTTTAGAGGAAAACCAGCATGCATAGTGGTGGCCCCTGTGGATTCTTTCAAGGCAGCAGTGTTAAGGGTACCATGTTCTGTTTGTGGCTGATAAGCAGCAGGCCCCATGGAAAGAGAATCATTTAGACTGTGTGATTTTTTTTTCAGCCTCCAGAGTTTTATCAATGCTTATGTTGGGGGAGGATGGAGGGTGTGAGGTGACATTTATGGAAAAGGTGTGATGCCCCAGATAGACTTAGAGTGGGCAATGTGCTCCTCAAAGGCGAAACAGACAAAAAAAAAAATTGAGATAAGATGTGGACTGACTCACAGCCTGCGTATGGCGGTTTCCAATTATCTTTTTTAATGAAAGCTTCATATTTAATCCATGCTCCTGTTGGCAGCTGCCGCCACCTATTGTAATAGACGAACTGGCGCTGTATCACTTTGATTATTGATTTTTTTTTAAAACAGCAGCTTTTGGGATTCACTAGCTTGTGAAATTAATACAGTCATTATTGAGGCAATGTGATAGGTCATGAGTCAATCGTGCCTTTATTTCAATCAGGCTAATTGTCTTTGGTGGCCTGGGCCGATAGGAAGTGTTTCATAAAGCCATGCAGGGTTGGAAACCGAGTTAGCACCGATCAGGAGACCTCATTTTCATTTCTTCACCCGCAAGAAGGTGACCATGGGATTGACCGAGTGGCCTCGGTGACTGCAAATGGGTTTAGGGTAATGGAGAATCGATTCAGACCCTTTGCTCCACCTGGAATCAAATTGCCTTGGAACCACACGCAGCGGGTGTTTGTGTTATAATGAACAAGGAGAGCAAGGCTCCCGCTGAGGCCAAGAACAGGTGCAGGAGCTGCAAACCTGGGGAGCTAGACTCCAGCTCTGGCTTCGCTGCTCCTTGGCCACATGGACCCAAATCCACAACACAACCTACCTGTGCCCAAAGATTCCTTAAAGGGGACGTTTTGAACACTAACGTGTCCGTGGAAGGAAAGATTTTGGACAATGCGAGAGTGTACTTGAAAAAGTTCTAGGATAATTTAAATTAAAGGAGAAGCTTGGGTGGGTGTTTGGTCCAGCAGCTGCCACACTGCTTTGGAAGTCTGCATGGCACATTAGAGTGCCTGGTTCCAGTCCTGGTTGCCCTGATTCTGATCCAGGGTCCTGTTGGTGTACACCCTGGAAGGTAGTAGGTAGTGGCTCAAGTACTTGGATCCCTACCACCCACATGGGGAACCCAGATGTGGTTTTGGGTTCCTGGTCTCAGCTTAGCGCAGTCCTGGATAATCTGGGCATTTGGGGAATGAATCAGCTGATGAAAGATCTCTCTTATTCTGTCTCTGCTTGTCAAATAAAATGAAAGAAAAAAATGAAAAAGGAAAGTTAGCATCTGTTGAGAAAAATTACTGAATTAACAAACTAATTGAGCTCGGTGTAAAGAGTTTGAAATTCACATCTACCAGGGGTTCTCAAAGAGTTCCTGGAAAATACATATTATGAAAGCATTATGCATGGAGTTTTAGAAATTGTCTTTTAATTCCCTGCTTTTCTCAGAGGTGCATTACAGCATCCTCATGGATGTGCTACAAATGTTCATGATGTTCAGCAGTAGCTGGGATCTTGTCTGGAGTCAAGTCAATTCTGGTGCCTTTTTTAGCCTTAATTTCTCAACCCATAAAATGGAAGGGTCATCTTCACTTCTCCAAAAAGATTGTGCAAATGGTACTATAAAGAAGATTGGTGTAAGAAAGCTTAAACATTCATTCTGTTTTTTTTTTAAATAAATTGCATTTTCATGACCATTTCGAGAACCTCTTATATATATGGATTTCAAAAACTTTTAACATCAAAATCAGTTTATCTTTTTTTTTTTAAAAGATTTATTTATTTTTATTGGAAAGGCAGCATTGACAGAAAGGGGAGACAGACCTGTCTCCTGGTTCACTCCCAAATGGTCACAAGCGTCAGATCTAAGCCGATCTGAAGCCAGGAACCAGGAGCTTTTCCTGGGTTTCCCACATGCATGTGGGGCCCTAGGACCTGGGCTGTCCTTTGTTGCTTTCGCAGGCTGTTAGCAGGGAGCTGGATTGGGAAGTAGAGTAGCCAGGACAAGAACTGGTGCCCATATGGAATGTTATTACTGCAGGCAGAGGCTTAGCTTCTTATGCCACAGTGCTGGCCCTGAATTTATCTTTGAATTTTCATTTCCATTAAGAGTTTTGAGCTACTCTATGCATGCAAAGGGCTTTACCTCTGTGTCCAGTGGTGGTTTCATCCAGTTGCAAAATGCAGTGAGAGTTTCCTACATATTAGCTAGCCCTTAATTGACAGCGTGTGACCAGTTGCCACAAAACTGTGGCATGGCTGCAGAGAAACTGACACCTCTGGGGTTAGAAACCACATCGACAAAGAAACAAAGCTGAGCTTACCAGTCAGCAGGAAGGCATCTTTGCAGCAACTTTGCTTCTTGGGTGGCCCCAAACTCATGGATGCCCCAGGATCTTGGTAGGAGCAGAACTGCTCCCCCACAATTTGAGGTTCTCTTAGACAATGCTTTACTACAAAACCCCAGGATTCTTGGTCTTTGTCTGTTGCTGACAGTCAGTCCTGAGTCTCACTTCCTTGTTGTCCCCTGTATCTGTTCCACAGCAGCTCTGTAGGGGGTTGAGGGGTGGAGCGAGGGCCGAGGAGGAATTGGTCATACCCTGCAGAGGCCATCGTCCATTATGGATGAACCATGCTGAGACATCATGTACCTTGGGCTGGGGCAGCAAGCCCGTGGCTGGCATGAGCCCAGCTCTGTTCTCTGCAGACCAAGGAGAGCTGCTCTCTGCCTCCCATGCTTGTTTCTGTTGCTGCTGCCCCTCCTGGTTACACTCCATCCAGGTCTTTCTCTGATGTCCACCAGTGCTTATTTTTCTAAACAGTTTGGAATGCATTTGCCCAAATTTGATCCCAAGCCGATTGATTTCGACCTCCCCTGGGGTGAGGCCTGGGAATCTGCATCAACTACCCTGTCTTAGAGATGCTAAGGCCAGTTTGTCCGAACGATGATTCTCAAACTGACCTGAACATGTGTCTACTGGGGGTTCGTGGTAATCTGCAGATACTATGCCACAGAATGCAAGATCCTGCATTTCTGCCTACACTGAAGGTGCACGAGCCAGGGTGAGGTGTCAGGAACTAGAGGAAAGGAGAGGAACCCTTGGGAGACATCAGACCTTGGTCCTGTAGACCCTCATTAAATGGCAGCCACCCACCAGCATTGCAGGTTGGGGGGATGGAGCTAGGGTGTGAATTGCAAGCCCTCCCCATTGCAGGCAATCTGATGGAGCAGAGGAGTCACCTATGGCTTTTCCCCTTACCAGGTATTCCTCAAGGCAGGGGTGATCTCCAGGCTGGAGAGGCAGCGGGAGAAGCTGGTGTCTCCGAGCATCATCCTCTTCCAGGCAGCATGCAAGGGCTTTCTGTCCCGCCAGGAGTTCAAGAAGTTGAAGGTACTGCTTGGGGCTCACCTGGGGGTTCTGAGCTAACAGGTCTGGGGCAGGCATGAAGGCTCATGTGTCTCCCGAGATGAGGTCAGTTGTGCCAGGCTGGGTGCCCGCCCCATGTAGCAAGACCCTTGGCCAGGGACTCTTTTCAAGCATTGTGATTTGTTCCAGCACTTGACTTTGAATGACCAATCTAGATTGGCCTCAATTTAGATCAGTCAAGGCTTTGTGGAGTGATTTGTGATGACAAACTGTCTCATCTCTGGAAGAATTTACCCTTGTGGGTAAGCAGATGGGGCAGGGGCAGATCTCAGCCCCTGTGGCCTTTAGGACAAATGAACAAGTGGTGTCCGCAGTCCTGAGCCACCCAGGTTACCATCTTCTGAAGTCTCCAGCGCCTGCATTTCCTGTATTGCAGAGAGAGACGTGCTCAGCTCTGGGCTAAACGATACAGATATTTGATTCCCCACTTTGGGCAGCTGGATGAAGGTGAAACGAGGGGGGAATAAAAGTGTGCTTAATAAAGTCCATTGTACAAAGTAACTACTCCATGAACCTTAGGTGTCCTGTGTCACTTTAGTATTGTCATTATCAATTGCTACGACCACCGGAGTAGTGTTTCTTTACATAGGCATTCCGCTTTCTGAGAACTGGTGAACTCAGGTGTGCCTGCTTGGCAACGCAGGAAAAGGTGTCAAGTAATTAGGTCATGAAAGCACTACGGGCAGACCTACTGGAGCACTGCACTTAGCTAACAGGCACCAGGGGTGACCCAGAGTGGAGGTGAAGAATAAGCCTAGAGCCAAGCCGAAAAGGTTCAAGTTGTGGCTCTACCAGGGAGAAACTGGGTGCCACTGGGCAGGTGACTTGACTTCTCTGTGCCCCCTGCCCCCTGTTTCTCCATCAGGCATTATAACCACACCCGTGACAGAAGCGGGTTTGGTCTGTGCTTCTCTAACTGTGGTCCCTGGACCAGCAGCCTCAGCATCCCCTGGACATGGGTTAGAAATGTGGGTGCTCGGGTCATGCATCCCAGGTGGGCTGTAATCCGGGCCTGCTGGGGAGGAGGCTCCTCAGTAGAAGCTAACAGGGTTGTTCTGGATGTTTGCTTTCTGCAGGCAATGGCAGGAATTAGGTTTTGCCCGGCCAGTTCCTCACCTTATGATGTGTTCTTATATGACATTTTCTACACTTCCTCCCACTACTGGTGAGGCAAGACTCAAGAATGGCAGTGTACCTGGGACAGAGAGCCTGACTCTATAAAGAAGGCTTTGTTTTTTGGGGGAAGGGTTGGCAACTGGGAAGGTGAAAGGTCACTCAGAGCTTTCCCCTGGGATAGAAGCCTGCCTGCCCTACCCCTTCTGCCCCTCCCTGCCTCCCCTCCTTCCAGCCTCTGCTGGGACACTCATGTCTCATGTCTCCCTTCTCCTCCTGACAGATCCACCGACTGGCAGCCAGGTGCATCCAGAAGAATATGGCTGTGTTCCTGGCAGTCAAGGACTGGCCATGGTGGCAGCTCCTTGGCTCCCTCCGGCCCCTGCTGAGTGCCACCATTGGGCATGAACAGCTCCGAGCCAAGGAGGTCAGTGCACACTGCAGGCAGGGCCCAAAGTGGCAGCTCTCTCCCTTCCTCTTAATAACCCTCTCCTGCCTGTCCTTCATGCTTTTAGCATGGAACCACCCTCTCCCCCTCCCCGTACCCCCAGTGTGGATAATTCTAGATCTGGGGGTGCCTAACCCAACAGCCCTTGGTGCCCCTTCTGCATTTCCTCTTCTCCCATCAGCATGGGCCCTTGCCCGTCTGCAGCCTTGCTGCTCGCTGGGTGAGGAGTTCTGGCTAGGTGCGTGCTCGCCACCCGGGGTCTGGAACGCTTATGGCTCCAACCCCCAGGGACTCAATGCTGTGACCTTTGAGGCTTTGCTTTTCTTACCTCCCAGGTAAACATGCCCTTCCATCCTGCCGCCACTCACTTTCTGACGGGTTTCTTGTATATGCTTCCTCTTGGTTCGTTTTGTAAAAATTAGCAAATACACACATACTCTTCTTTCTTACATTAGAAACTAGGTTACCTTACAAATGGAGCACAACGAACCTGAAAACCTCACCCAGTAAAGTCTAGACGAATATTCCCAAATCCCCAAAACTCTGACAGCCAAAGCACCGCATTCTCCCAAGTGCTGCTTCATCAGCCACTTTTTTTTCATTCTATTTTAATGGGCACATAATAATTGTATATATTTTTTAAGGGTAGAATATTAGTATTTTGATACTTCAGGATCCTTCAAAAAGTTCATGGGAAAATGGAATTAAAAGATGAGTTTATTTTGGTGTAAAAGTATCTGAAATCCATGTATAATGGTGCTCATTGTCTATGAAACTTCTAAGGCTCCTTGTATATTTGCAGTGACTGAATCAGTTGAATTGACAAATCCATCACCTCAGGTGTTTGTGTGTGTGTGTGGCAAAAATGTCTGAAGTCACCTCTTTTAGCAGTACTGAAATATACAACACATTGTTGATTTACTCAGTCACCGTCCCATGTGACAGAAGCCTAAAGCATCTTGTTCCCAACTTGAACTTTTTATCCATGGTCACTCCTTTATTTTAATATTTATTTGAAAGTCAGAACTGCAGAGAGAGAGAAAGATCTCCTACTTGCTCGTTTACTCTCTTCTGCTGCCTCCATGACCACAATAGTTGGGGCTGGGCCAAAAAGCTTCTTGTAGGTCTTCCATATGGGTGGCAGGGGGCCAAGCAAGCACTTGGGCTATCCTCTGTTGCTTTTCCCAGGCTATTAGCAGGGAACTGGATTGGATACGGAACAGCTAAGACATGAATTGGCACTCATATGGCATGCTAGCATTGTAGGTGGCAGCTTTATCCACCATGGCAGGATGCTACTCTCTCTCCTCCACTTTAGATCATGCTTAACACAAGGGGACTACGTACCACTGGTTCATCCAGAATGGCCTCTGCTAAGGTGTCTCTTTTTTGTAGGAGGAGCTTAGAGCACTAAGGCAGAAGCTAGAAAAATCGGAGAAGCTGCGAAACGAATTCCGGCAGAGCACAGATCTGTTGGAGAGCAAGGTACTCCTGTCCCTCCTAGTGGGCCCTTGTGTCAGGGAGGTCTTTTCGGGGGAGGGCATGATGGCAGTGCTGCTGTACTAATTGTTCTGCAAGCATAGTTCACATTTCCTCTGGGGCACGATGCTGTTATCATACCCATTGACAGAGGGAGAAACGGAGATCCCAAGGCCACACGACCAACAATTATAGACCTGAGATCCAAACCCATGTCCTCTGGTCCCAAAGGGAAATTTTTCTCTTCTTTTGTTTTCAAATATTTGAAAGTCAGAGTTACAAGGCAGGGATGGAAAGAGGAGATCTTCCATTCGCTAATTCATTCTTTAGACAGTCACTATGGCCAAGGCTGAGTCAGAGCCAAAGTCAGGAGGGAGAAACTTCATCTCCCGTATGGGTGGCAAGGACCCATGGGCTTGGGCCATCTTCTCCTGTTGTGGAGCTGCTGAGACATGAATGGATAACCATCTGGGATGGCAGAGTCCCAGGCAGTGGCTTTATTCACTGTGCTACGATACTGGCCCCAAGTGAAAATTGTCTTGAGTCACAAAAATCCAATGATAAATTTGACTATACTGCAGTAGTAAACCTCTGTTGATCCAAGCATGAAATGAAGGCGCTGTGTACTTAGAACTGAAATATGTGATATATACATGTGGCAGAAAGCATTCAGAACATGTAAAGACCTTCCTTTAATCAACTGGGACACATACTCCCTAGAAAATAGGCATGGGCCAATTGAAATGAATAGGCACTTCCTAAGGGGAGGAGGGCTGGAACCAAGAGTCCAAATGCTCCTTAATTCACTTGGCCATTAAGCTCATGAAAGGAGGCCTAACTAGGCATGGATTCCAATTTTTTTTAACTGAAAAATAGTTACATTTAAATTTCATTTTGCATTAACCCTTTTAAAAATTTTACCTATGTATTTGAAAGTTAGAGTAACAGAGAAAACAAAGCAGAGAGAGAAAGAGTGAGTCTGTTCACTGGTTGACCCCCAAAATGGCTGTAATAGCCAGTGGTAGGCCAGGTCAAAGCCAGGAGCCAGGGAGTTTCTTCTGGGTTTCCCATGTGGATACTGAGGCCCAGGGACTTTACTGCTTTTCCAGGTGTGTTAACAAGAGACTGAATCATAAGTGGAGGACCAGGAATACCAACAGACACTCATATGGAATTCCAGCACCACTAAGCTACAGTACTGGCCCTCCACAAACCTTTAAAAGATTTTAAAAATCTATTTGAGGAAGAGAGAAAGAAAGAGGAAGAATTGAAGAGAGAGAGAGAGAAAACAAACAGATATAGAAAACTCCCACCTGGTAGTGCCCACCATGGCTGGGCTGGGCAGGACCAAAGGAAGGAACTGAAAACTGAGTGCAGGTCTCCCACACAGTAGGAACCTAGTTACTTGAGCCACCCCCTACTACCTCCATGGTCTGCATGAGCAGGAATACTAGAGTCAGGGGCTGGAAGAGAACACCGATGTGGGATGCAAGCAACTTAACTATTGGATAAATATTGCCCCTCTCTGAGCCTCTTGAAGCAGCCTTGTATACTGCAGAATCTTAGCCCTGTGTCTGTGAAGACAAGCACGTTGTAGCCACGTTTGTCACATGGGAGGAACAAAAAAAACCCCAAAGGACCAACCAACTGGCCGATCCAACCCAACCGACAGCTTCTGTCCACATGGTTTACTGGTATGCAGCCACACGTGTGGTCTGCTGCTGTTGGCCATTGCCATGGCAGGGCTGGTGGCTTCCACAGGAACCACTGAGCTCTGCCATTTTTACCTTACCTGTAAGGGCTGCCAGGTTGACCCCATGGGTCTTCACAGAACAGAGAGGCACCTGTGATAGCATGGAGCATCTTCATAAGCATTTGGTCAAAGCAAAGGGACTTCCAGTGGATTCCTAAAGTCACAGACAGGGCTGAACTCTGTGTTTGATTTCATTTCTCTCTCTCTCTCTCACACACACCTGAGACTGTAAAGCTTACATTATAAATTAGGCTCAGCAAGTGATGAACTATAAGCAATAATAAATGATGGTAAAGATAATAGTATACTGAAATAAAAGTTACATGACTGTGGTCTCTTGATCCTAATGTCTTGGTTCACCCTGCTTATGATGTGAGATGATGAGTGCCTATGTATTGAGAGGAGGTAATGAGTTGGAGGTGAAGATACAGGCATTGTGATCAAGCCCTAGTCTGCTCCGTAGGGTTACCTGAGTGTGACACCGCAATACTCCGTCTGATAACCATGATGGTTACCAACTGGTTGAAGGGTAGGTAGTGTCCACAGTGTGGATCCTCTGGACAAAGGGATGAGTCTTTCCCAGGCAGGACAGAGCAGGGGAGCAATGCTACTCAGGTTAGTGTTCAGTTGAAAAGTTACGAATCGTCCATGTCTGGCATTTTCAATGGATATTTTCAGATAACTATTGTCTTAAGAGCCAGACGTCTGAAGTCATGTAAAGTGAAACCATGCATCCAGAGAGGGACTGCTGCTTCTAAAATGTGATTCCATATGTAAAACGTTTTTAAATGTACAGAATATGTGGATTTGGGGCGCGTGTCACTATGGTCAGGGTGTTAATATATCTGTGGGGTAACTATCAAACTCAGAGTGCATGGAGAGGGACGACCAGCCAGAACAGATTCTGCTGGGGTTTGTGTGATGCTCTCGGGGCTGTGGGCGGCAGACGCCTTTTCTTTTGAATTCAGTGTCAAGTTCATGGCCGGTGATGAGGACAAGAACCAGATACTTCCTGCCCTCCCAAGCAAGGCTGCTGCCTATGCAGACAAAGTCCTAAACAAGTTCATACCCTCTAACATGACACATGATCTGTGAGCTCTGGTCCTAGGAGGAGCTGTTGGAGGAAACTGCTGCTGCTCCACGTAGAATTTTCAAGATTGGAGGTCCTTGATGAAAGCTCAACATGGAAAGGATTAACAACAAGTCGTGAGCAAGGTCACTGATATTTCAACCCAATTTTTAAAAAAGAGTGTAAATTAATATGAACAAATCTATGATGATCCTAATATAAACATTTTAAATTTCAAATAAATATAGGGTTTGTGGGTCAGGATTAGACAATCTGTGTGGTGGAATCCGATCTTGCTTTAGCAATCTGATCTTTTATACTTCATGAAATTTTTGCAATCATTGAGATTATTTTAAAAAGAAAAACATTATGTTGGAAGGTGTTGTTGATTTCTGATTCTGAGGTTTTTGGACCTCACCTCTCATTTTTTGCAGCCTTGGTAAAATTTAATCCCAGGTCTGTTTCTCCCTGAAACTCAAGGTGATCAGCAAAGTTGTTCTGAAGGGTAAATGAAATTTGTGTGTTCCCTGTTGGACAGATGTGTATCTGCATGTCTCAGACATTGGGAGTTCAGTGGAGCAACTTGGATATAGCTAGAGATAGGGTCACGTCCTGCCATCTCTGGTCTCTGGGCCAACAGAGGGAGACAGACCACAAGCAAACGGGTGCCTTGCTACAGAATACAAAGCAGAGAGAAGTCATAGGGATAGGGTGTCCAGTGGAGGCAGTTTTGCCTAAGTATTCCAGGAGGACTTCTCTCCAAGTTTAATGTCTGGTTCTGGACCTGCATAGTCTGAAGTCTGCGCAGGTCCATTAGAAGGAGCAGAGGCAGCTGGTCCATGATAAAGGTCCTGAAGCAATGCAGGGTGATATTTGTCAGCAAAGAGCAAGACTGGGGCTTGGTTGTTTTTCATCCAAGTACTGTTTGAGCTCTGGATGACCTGCTTCTGATCCAGCTCCCTGTGAGTGCACCTGAGACGGCAGAGTAAGAAGAACTTTGCTTCCTGTCACTCATACAGAAGACCCAAACCAAATCCCTAGCTCTTGGATTCAGCTTGCTCTAGCCCTGGCTGTGGCAGCCATCTGGAATCTGGGGAGTGAACCAGTGGATATAAGAACTCTTTCTCTTTTTTCTCCCTCTTTCTCTTTTGTCATTCTGCCTTGCAAATATTTTTTTTAAAGTAATGTATTGATGTGAAAGGCAGAGGGATAAATGGAAAGCCCCAATCAATTGGCTCACTTTCCAGATGCCTGCAACAGCCAGAGAACTGAAACTGGCAGCTAGGGATGCACTCGAGGTTTCCCACATGGATGTCTGGAATTCAGTCACTTGAGCTCTCATTGCTGCCTCCCACGGTACCCACTGGCAGGACACTGGAGTTAGGAACAGAGCTGAGCAACCAAGCCTGGTGACTCTGATATGGGACATGGATGTCCCAGCCAGCATGTTAATTGCTGGACCGAATACCTACCCCCAAACTAGAGCTTTCTATGGCTGGTATGATTAGTTATGGATGCTGTTGGTTTGTTGAGGGGTGCTGGTAAGTGTAACTGGTCTGATGAGGAAGCCAACAAAACACAACCTTCTTCGCATGTGGACAGTTAAAGGTGAGCCTGGCTGGCTCTTTTGGAGGGTTGAATGAAATTTGAGAAGGGTCTATGTCTGTTTCACGCCTTCTTTGTCATCCCAAAGGGACAGGGTCCATTCTCCACACCAAGAGGTTCTCTGTCTGCTCAACTCGTGCCCACTCCTGCAGGCACATTAAAGTGTCCGCCGTGGAGACTGCCAGGGCAGGGAAAGGAGAGGCTGATCTTGGTAGGAGTGGTCACTGCAGCGCAGCGTCTTCGGAGTTACGCTGAGAGGTTGTTTCGCAAGGCTGCGCCCTCTTGCGGTAAAGACCGGAAGGAGAGGAACTGGTACACAACCCATCTCTGGTTCTTGGAAGCAGCCATGGGTAGAGAGCCGGGAGTTGCTTGGGAATATCCCAGTAGAGAGTCTTCCCGCTGAGCTGACATTTGATGTCGTCATTCATCATAAGCTGTCAGATGAGACGCGGGGATTTGTGACGCTGGCGGCCCAGGTGGGAGATTTGCAGGCGTGAGATGAATACGGTTGTTAACATACATGGCTAATGACACTTGCTTGGGGACGGAGCACTTGTACAAGGAGGAGCAGCTGCTCAG